CAATGGCTCCCTAACTCCTATCTCTGGAACATGTTCTATCATTTGTGCACCTAATATCACATTATCATTCGTCCTCCATGTACCTGAGTTTCCTGTTAACCTATGACATAGGCAAGTTATTGTACTCAATCAGTAACATAAAAAGTTTTTCCAATACCAGATTCAATCCAGATTAACATAGGAAAGAGAAGACTGAGTGCAGTTTCAAAAGAAAGTTTAAAAGTATGAAGTCATGAGGGATAAGCAAAGATTCATGCCAAACTTCCACACATACAGAGATTTCAACCAAAGTTATGACCTCACAAGATTGGATGAGTCTCAAATATTACAAAATCATATTATCAATATCATTAAGTGTTTAAGAACAGGGGAAACATCATACTATATAGGCTTAACTCATCTATTCAGACTAAGGTTAATTGCTAGGCATGGTGGAGTTATATTCAAGTTATAGAAATAGTTAGTATTCAACTACAGCAGACACAACTACAATCTAATCCATAAAAATATAGGTTGATCATAACAAAATGTATGCAGAATGATCAATGATGTTCAAAGAAAGTTCATCCTAGTGAGATTGATTACGACTAACAGTTAGGCATGGATATAAAGCTTTTATAGTGATGACTCGGAGAATGCTTAAAAGTTAACAAGCACTTACACAAATAGGTAGAGCATTTTGAACACTTAAGCTTCATAAACCTTAACCAAGTGATGCAGAGTTACCCTATGTACTTTCATGTATTTCCCAGCTAGAATCATCTAATAACAACCCCAAGTATATAATAACAGAACTCAAAAGAATATGGCATGATAAGCATGAAGATTATAACAACAACCCCAAGTATAGAAGAACAAAACTCAAAAGAATAGGGCATGATAAGCATGAAGATTATAACATAATCATTATAGGGAAGTCTGATGTCTAGGTAGATATGAGAAATCATTAAAGCATGTTAAGCAGCTTAACCACATAGGCTATTTAATACAGAACAAAAGTCATAAGGTCACATAGCTCCTTAATCAATACTAATGAAATATAATAGTTGACCACAGATCAACAACAAAGTCATGGTGAACTAAAATAGACAATTACAGACTAATAGCAAACATTATAAATGAAACAATTAACAGGAAAACAGTAGCACATTCATGATTTTCGAATGAAGCAATTAAAAAAGAAAGGGTGGAGGTGTACTGACCTCATTTTGAGCAACAAACCAAACAAAGACTCTTTCTTAACCATATAGAATCAAGAACTCAAGCCCCGACCAGGCCTAAAATTGATATTTGTTAGGTGATTTCGTGATGCCTTTGTTGTATATTTTCTGTGTGTTAGGTGAGAACATTAACATCCCATATTTAAAGTGGTTGTAAAGCATTAGGGTTCCTAATTCAAATCGATAGTGGAGAGTGATGATGGAATGGTGATGCAAGCATAATCGAGTGAAAATCTTAGAAAACATAGGGAAATCAGTGAGGCTTTTTACCTGGGCATGGGGAAATGAGAGACCGATCGTTGAAGCATGAGAGACCATCGATCAGAACCCTAATACCCAGAGAGTCATTGCATTTGACCTCAAGATATCGAATATCAATGATGAATCCAGCTAATGTCTTCATGCTTGCTTCGATTTGAAAGAACGAAGGAAGAAATCAGAAAAGTTGAAGTTTCACATTTTGGTTTGTGACTCTTCGATTGGGGCTTTTGAAATCAAATGGTGAAAACGGAAAGAGCAACGAGATCTGAAGTACATGAGCAAAGTGGATAACCATGCATACCATGGATTTGAATGATCAATGGCGATTTAAGGTTTCATCTTTGGGGTTAGGGTTCGGATTTGAGGACTTCAGACTTGATCGATGAAAGAGAAAAGATTCAGCGAGAATCACGGATATGGGAGACAAAGAGGATGAATCTCTGAATGAATTCATGACCTTGCACGAGCTTGTGCAAGGTCTTTTGATTGATTTGGGCTATGAGGTTGAGAGAAAAGAGATAGGAAGGGGATAGAGAGGTGGCAGGGCTTGGGGGAAATAATTTTATGGTCAGGGGATGAGACCAAACGATGTCTAGGTTAAAGTGGGAGGAAACGATCTGGGCCGTTGGATCATTTGATCAACGGCCCTGAAAATTTAAGTATTAACATATTTTATCAAGGAAATATGGTTTCCGTTGGATCCAAATGATCCAACGGTGAGGAATAAACCTTCTGGGTATTTAAAAATTAAGAGAAAAATAGGAGTTAAAATGTAGACCATTGATCAAACGGATGGACGGTCTGGATCAGATGTGTTTGTTTTGTGAGTGGGTAGGACGGGTGACGTGGCACGATTTCATTGGACAAGAAGAGGAGACGGGGATTGCTATGGTGGAGAGAAGGGAATTGAATTTGGATCAAATTTGGCTTGGGCTTGGGTATTGATTTAATGAATAGCCACTTTGTATTTAATTAAGGAATTGTGATTGTAGCCTTTTAGTTTTTAACCCCTTTAAAATTAATTTAATTAAACTTAATTAATTTCCAATAGAATATAGTGAAATTATAATTATCAAATACACTACTAACTATTGTAATTATTTATTTATAAAATACTTTATTTTCTAAATTATAACAGTAGTTTGAATTATCAACATAGCAATCTAATTAATCAAAATTTGAGAAGTAATTCGTAAATTAATTATAAAACCTCTATGGTGTATTTTAAAAATATTTTAATAGTAGTATATTTGTAATTACATAATACTAATGCTAGGTTATTAGATTCAAAGCTAATACTTTATTAATTTGTAAAAACAGGTAATTATTGAGAGAAAATACTTTCAAAACTGTTAAATTGTATTTTTCAAGATCTTCAAACAAGGAAGAGGATTGGTAGTGGTAGATTGTGTGATGACTTATATTTTATTGATAGAACTCGAGACTTTGTTCAGGCATATTTTGGAGGAAATAGGGACGTCAACCAAGAAATAATACAGTGGCTTAGACGGTTAGGGCACCCATCATTTTTTTCTTTAGAGAAGTTATCTCCTATTTTGTTTTCTAGAACCATGTTTGAATATTTATTTTGTGATGCTTGTGAATTTGCCAAGCATACTAGAAACGCTTATCCTTTGAGTGATAATAAAACTACAACTCCTTTTTCGACTATTCATTCTGATGTATGGGGTCCTATTAAAATAGTTTCTTTGTCTGGTTGTCGATGGTTTCTTACCTTTATTGATTGTTGTACTACTATGAGTTGGGTGTATTTGTTAAAGGCCAAATGTGAAGTTTTCTCTTATTTTTAGTCTTTTCATAAGCTGATTAGTAGTCATTTTGAGACTAAGATAAAAATCTTACGAACTGACAATGGCACAGAATACATGGAGAAAGCTTTTGGTGCTTATTTGGAGTCTTATGGGATAATCCATCAAACCAGATGTCCTTATACTAGTGCACAAAATGGGGTTGCTGAAAGAAAAAATAGGTATTTGTTAGAAGTGGATAGATCTCTTATGTTTACCAGGAATCAACCAAAACCTTACTAGGGGGGATGCCATTCTAGTATCTGCATATCTCATTAATAGAATGCCACTAAAAACCCTCGATTTACAGAGTCCTTTGCAAGCGTTAAAGTGTAAGAATGATTATATTATTCCTCCGAAGGTATTTGGGTGTGTCTGCTTTGTACTCACTAGAAAATCTGAGAAACTTGAGCCTAAAGCTCTTAAGTGTGTCTTTATTGGGTATTCTACAACATATAAAAGGTACAAATGTTAACATCCTCCCTCCAGGATATCCTTCGTCAGCATGGATCTTACCTTTCGAGAATTTGAGCCATATTTCAGTATTACACCATCACCCCTTTAGGGGGAGATCTTTAAGGAGGAAGAGATGATTTTCCCAAATTCCACTATTGAAACCACTATCACTACCACTACCACTGGGGAAAATAAAATTGGAGAAAGAATTTAGGGGGAGACTATTGGGCATTTGGATAGGCCTAATTTGAAAACTTACTCAAGGAGAAATAGAGTAGAATAAGTCGTCATGCAATCTACCGAAGCTGAACCTTCTTCTATTGGTGAGTTAATTACATTTCCTAATTTGTTAATTTTCCTATTGCTCACAAAACAAACAGTCAGATTCTGCACCACCAAGCATCCTTTATCTAATTTTGGCTCCTATAATTCTATGTCTCCCTCCTATAGGGCCTTTGCCTTGTCTATTTATTATGTGTCAATTACCCAAAATTGGAAGGAAGTTTTTGCAGATCCTAAATGGAAGCAAGTTATGAATGAAAAAATGAAGGTCTTGTCAAAAAATAAAACATGGAAACTTTTCACTTCACCACCAGACAAGAAGTTGGTTGGCTGCAAATGGATCTTCACTATGAATCACAAAGCTGATGACTCAATTGAAATATTCAAAGCAAGATTGGTGGTTATGGGATTCACTCAGACTTATGAAGTGGATTATCAAGAGACATTTTCCCCTGTTGCTAAAATAAACACTATCAGAATTCTTTTGTCTTGTGCAGCTAAACTTGATTGGGACTTACAAAAGTTCGATGTGAAGAATGTATTTCTTCATGGAAACTTAGAAGAAGAGGTGTATATGGAGATTACTCCTAGATTTGATACTGAATAGAGTCAAGGAAAGGTGTGCAAATTGAAGAAAGCTTTGTACGGATCAAAGCAATCTTCTAGATCCTGGTTTGATAGATTCTGTAAAGCAATGATCTCCTTTGGTTACCAAAAAATCAATGCCGATTACTCTCTTTATTTGACATCAAAGCGGTAAACTCACTCTTCTCATAGTTTTTGTTGATGACATAGTAATGATAAGAGATGACAAAGAGGAATTAACGCGATTGAAGAAACTGTTGGCACTAGAATTTGAGATCAAGGATTTATGAAAAATACATTACTTCTTGGGAATTGAGGTTGCTAGATCAGAAAGAGGAATCTTCATTTCTCAAAGAAAGTACATTCTGGATCTCTTGAAGAAACCGATATGATTTGTTGCAAACCAACTGAATCACCCATTGAGTGCCATCACAAGCTACAAACAGGGGTTGGAGAGTCAGTTGACAAGGAGAGGTATCAGAAGCTGGTTGGAAAGCTTATTTATCTCTCTCACACTAGACTAGACATAGCTTATTTAGTGAGCTTGGTGAGTCAGTTTATGCATGATCCCCGAGACTCCCAAATGCAAGTTGTCTTCCATTTTACAGTATTTGAAGTCTGCTCCTGGAAAAGGCATGTTTTTCTCCAAATATGGTGACATCCGGATAGAAGCCCATACAGATGTGGATTGGGCTAGGTCTCTAGATGATAGAAGATCTACATCTGATAACTGTACACTCATAGGAGGGAACTTAGTCATTTGGAGCAGCAAGAAGAAAAGTGTAGTTGCTAGATCAAGTGCAAAAGCAGAATAAAGCTATGGCCCAAGGTGTTTGTGAACTTATTTGGTTGCAAAAGTTATTAGAGGAATTGGGACTGTCTCAAAAAGGGAACTTTCCTTGTACTACGATAACAAGGTTGTAATCAGTATAGTTAATAATCCTGTTCAACATGACCGAACAAAGCATGTTGAAATTGATAAACATTTTATCAACTAAAAGGTTACAAGTGGTATCCCGAGATTGCTTCATGTGTCGTCAGAGAAACAGCTAGTTGATGTACTTACAAAAGGTCTCAACAAACAGACTCTCCATACATTGATTTGCAAGTTGGGCATGTGCGACATCTTTGCACAAACTTGAGGGGGAGTATTGAATATTTGATTAGCTAAATTATAGTGATTTTATTAGCTTAATTATAGAGATATTATTTGATTAGCTTAATTATAGAGATCTTATTTTATTTGATTGTAATTAGCATTATTGTCTTTGATTGTCTTTCCGAAATTAGAGATAGGACTGGTTATATTAATATCCTAGTCCATAGGTTGTACATATATTGAAATATACAAAGAAGCCTTTTCTTCTTCTCAAATTTAACAAAAACTCCTGCCCAAATATCCATCCTATCATTGTTGCAGAATTCAAACACACATAAGAACGCCTTGATGAAGGTGCTGAGTGATATTTATGTGCCTGTTGGCATCACCAGTAGGGAAATGGACAATACCATAGGACAAGTACTAGAAACTTACAAGATTACTTTCCACGAAGAGGGGTTGCCACCAGAAGGTTTGAGTCCCAACTGGGCATTGCACATCACTGTGCAATATTAAAACTAGTTCATTGCTCTAATCTTGATCGATGGAGGTTCGAGTCTGAATATATGCCATCTGACCACCCTGAAGAGACTGGGAATAGGCATTCTTGAGATACGTTTAGGGAGCATGAACGTAAAAGCATTCAATGATTCCCAGAAATCTACAATAGGAGAAATTGATTTGAGTTTGAAGATAGGACCGACCATGTTCGATGTCGAGTTCCAGGTACTAGATATATGTGCCACCTATAACCTGCTACTGGGACGACCATGGATACACATGGTTGGGGCAATTTCTTCTAATTTGCATCAGGCCGTGAAGTTTGAGTGGAATCATCAAGAGGTGGTTGTTCACGAAGATGGTAACAATCCTATCTATACCAACCAAATCGTACCGGCAGTTGAAGGTAGATGGAAGTTAGGAGGGGAGACATTCCATAGTATTTAACGGATAAACACAGTCGAGAAGGGACAATGGTGCTGTAATTAAGTTCTGATCATGCTGCTTTGGCTAGGGTATGAGCCAGGACGAGGTCTTTGTCCTAAGCTTCAGGGGATGACAAAACCAATACGTCCACATACTCAGGGCACTACCTTCGGTCTCGTCTATGAGTACACTGTGAAAGAATATCATGATTGGTCTCCACTATGGCATGATTTATTTTACCTATTGCCTAAACCCATACCATCGTTGTACCAAAAATTTCGTAATGCTGACGTGATTTAGGGTTTTGAAGAAGATGAGATCTAAGCTGGCATGAGAAGTCTGTTCCTAGGTGAAGTAGATATGGGTTGTAATATGATCTTGGGAGATGAGGAGGAAGACTTCACCATACAAATGGTAGGATATTGAGTTGTTCTCAGTAACTGGACCTCCAGGCCATCCCGAGCTCGTCGCGCACCTAGGTAGCTTTGGCAGAATAGCATGATTTTTCTTTAAATATTTTTCTGGAACATAAGACATTCAGTATTGTGTTTTGAAATAAATACTCAAGATATCGAGTCGTGTTTGTTTTGACATTTTAGTTTTAAATTAATGCATTTTCTTTTCGTTTATTTATATTATTATCTCTACATTCTTTTCAGCATAACTATTTCTTATCTTGCTGAATCTACATCTATGACATGTAATGAGACAACGCGACACGATGAGAGTGATTAAGAAGAATGGAAAAATGACGTAATACCTGAGGAAATTGTCAGGGAAGCTGAGGATTTTGAAACAAAGCAAAGTCCAACATAGAAGACACTAAGGCAATTAATTTGGGGAATTATGAAACGGTCAAAGAGACCCGCATTAGTATCCATTTATCACCATCAGACAAAGAAGAGTATGCCACATTATTGAAAGAATATGATGACATCTTTGCATGTCCTATGATGACATGACAGGGTTGAGCACATCCATAGTGGCCCACAAGCGACCTACCAACCCAATATGTCCACCGGTGAAGCAGAAACCCAAACAATGCAAGCCATATATAAGCTTAAAGATAAAAGAGGAGGTTACCAAGTAGATCAATCCCAAAGTCCTTCGAGTGGTCGATTATCCAACATGGTTAGCTAATATCGTGCCCGTACCAAAGAAATATTGGAAGGTCAAGGTATGCATTGACTACAGGGATCTAAACATAGCAAGTCCAAAGAACAATTTTTCACTACCAAATATACACATCTTGATCCACAATTGCACCAATAGGCTCTCCAATCCTTTGTTGATTGCTTCGCGGGATACCACCAGATCTGGATAGACGCCGAAGATGCAGAGAAAATAGCCTTCATCATACCATAGGGAGTGTATTGTTATAAAATGATGCCATTTAGTTTAAAGAATGTTGGAGCTACCTACATAAGGGCCATGACCACCATTTTTCATAATATAATACATAAGGAAATCGAGGCTTATGTGGATGATGTTATCATCAAATCCAAGAAGATCATGGATCATATAGCAGATCTGAGAAAGTTTTTCGACCGCCTACAAAAGTACAACTTGAAGCTGAACCCCACAAAATGTACTTTCAAGGTCCCTGCCGGGAAGCTACTATGTATCATTATCATCCGTCGGGGAATTAGCTAGACCTGTCAAAAATCAAGGCCATACAGGATCTGCCGCCAGCAAGGAACAAAAAAGACGTGATGAGTTTCTTGGGGCGTCGCAATTATATCAGTCGTTTCATAGCACAGTTGACAGTAATATGTGAACCAAACTTCAAGATGCTGAGAAAGGATGTTTCAACAAGTTGGATTGACAGTAATATGTGAACCAAACTTCAAGATGCTGAGAAAGGATGTTTCAACAAGTTGGATTGACAGTAATATGTGAACCAAACTTCAAGATGCTGAGAAAGGATGTTTCAACAAGTTGGATTGACAGTAATATGTGAACCAAACTTCAAGATGCTGAGAAAGGATGTTTCAACAAGTTGGACTGAAGAATGTCAAAAGGCTTTCGATAAAATCAAGGAGTAGCTATCCAAACCCCTTGTTCTGGTCCCACCGGAGCCCGGAAGACCTCTACTGTTGCACTTGTCCGCGTTGGAAATAGCAATTGGATACGTATTGGGACAACATAATGAGACCAAAAGGAAGGAGCAAGCAATATACTATACGAGTAAGAAGTTCACACCTAGAAGATTGGTAGTCTCTATTGGAATGCACCTGTTATGCTATGACATGGATGGCCCAAAAGTGGAGACATTATTTATATTCATTTACCACATACCTCATATCGAGAATAGACACCTTAAAGTATATTTTTCAGAAAAAATACTTACTGACAAGTTGGCAAAGTGGCAAATACTGCTAAGTGAGTTCGACATCGTCTATGTGACTCAGAAAGCAGCCAAAAGGGCACGCATTGGCCGATCACCTGGCAGAAAACCCTGTGGGCGGAGAATACGAACCATTGAAAAATATATTTTCCCGACGAGGAAGTATCTTTCATATGAGAATATATTGCTGAAGCTTACAATGGTTGGAGTATGTTCTTCGACGGTGCTGCAAACTTCAAGGGGGTAGGCATTGAAATTGTCCTAGTTTCGGAAACAGGCCAACATTATCCGATATCCGCCAAGATCAAGTTCCCATGTACCAACAATATGGCAGAATATGAGGCCTGCATTTTGGGACTTAGGTTGACCATCGACATGAACATCTAGGAAGTATTGGTAATCGGAGACTCAAACTTGCTGATACATCAAGTGATCGGAGAATGGGCCACCAAGGATACCAAGATATTTCTGTACTTACACTATGTACAAGATTTGTTCAAGAGGTTCACACAGATAAAATTCAAGCATGTTCCCCGAATTAAGAACGAGTTTGCAGACACATTGGCCAGCCTATCTTCCATGATACAACATCAGAAAAAGAATTATATTGACCCCATCCCAATAGATATCTGCAAGCAGCTTGCCTATTGTGCTCATGTTGAAGAAGAATTTGATGGGAACCCATGGTTTCATGATATCAAGGAGTATCTAGAAAAGGAAGAGTACCCGAAAGATGCTACACATACGCAAAAGCACACATTACGTAGGTTAGATAACCATTTCTTTCAGAGCGGAGGAATTCTGTACAGAAGATCTCTCGATCTAGTACTGTTAAGATGTGTCCGCTCGAAGAGATACATGGTGGGACATGAAAACCTCACATGAATTGGTTTTTTATAGCCAAGAATATACTAAGGATAGGATATTTCAGGATGACTATGGAAACGGATTGCATAAAGTACGTACAAAAGTGCCACCGGTGTCAGGTGCATGCTGACATGATACGAGTGCCACCTAATGAACTCAATGTGACGAGTTCACCTTGCCCTTTTGCCGCTTGGGGCATAGATGCCATCGGCCCAATCGAGCCCGCTGACTCCAACAGACATAGATTTATCTTTCTAGCCATTGATTACTTCACCAAATGGGTCGAAGTCGCCTCCTACGAAGCTGTAACAAAGAAGGTCTAGCAGATTTTGTTCGGGACCGTATTTTCTGTTGATTCAGGGGGCCTGTGTCAATTATTACTGATAATGCCGCCAATGTCAATAGTGATCTGATGAAGGCCATGTGTAAAACATTCATGATTAAACACAGGAATTCTATTGCATATAGGCCATAGATGAATGGAGACATAGAAGCCACTAACTAAAACATTAAGAAGATACTAAGGAAGATGGTAGACAACTACAAACAGTGGCACGAGAGTTACAATTTACTTT